GTCTCCTCGGTCTACAAACACCTCCTGGAGAACACCCCCGTTGGGGCGCCTCTGGTCTCCTGAGGCTGGCTCGGCCTCCCATTCACAATTCCACATGTTCTCTCTGAGGAGGCTTCTTGGCTCTGAGCTTAGTCCACAAAGCCATCTCCTTCTCTTTCAGCCCCTGGGCTGCCTGGGTGTTGGCTCCAATCTTCAGGTACCCTTCCTTCTGGTCATACTCTGGCCAATGGGGCAGCCCCTCCCCATTTGGGTTCCTAGGAACAAAATCAAACAGAAATTGCACAGAGCTGCTAGTGGTCCCAACAATATCCTGAGACTTGCCTGGAGCTTCTGCCAAGAGGCACATGCACCTCCAGAGACAGGGAGCTCTCCATCTCCTGGAGCAGCCTGTGCACTAACTGTCACCATGCTGTGGTCACAGGGTTAGGGATCTGGTCAGTCAAACTTTAGAAGCCCCTCTTTCCCAACAGGTAGGCCCCACCACTTGCCACCCCACCCACCCACCCTGCTCCCTCTTTGCCACCAGCCTGACCCATGGCGAGCAAAGTTGGCCCAGAATTTCATCACCATCCTGCTGAGGTTGGTCTCCTCTTCTGAGGTGCCCCCTGTTGGGGCAGAAGGAAAAAAACGCTTTGCTACTCAAAGTGGGTTGTGTGGGCCAGCAGCAGCACCTGGGAGTTTGTAGGACAGGCAGCTTGTGGGAAGAGGGGAGGGAAAGGGAAGGTATTAGGGAATGAGTTTAAACAAATGATGTTATGTGCACACACAGATATGGCTAATGAATCCCACCGTTATATATGATTATAATGAGAAAAAAGAAAGGAAGGGAGGGAGGGGGATGGACTCTTGGCCCTAACTCTGTGCCTCCTAGACAATGTGCATTTCAGGAAGACCCTGTCCCCTGGTGTGCACTTTCAGCTTGAGAACAGCTGGTATAGTATTTGGCAAAGGCATGCAGTCCACCAGGAAGCTGACTGCCTTTGTCTTCTGTGCCCACCTGCCTGTCACTCCCCACTCAGGGTCCAAAGGCCACATAAGAAGCTTCCTCTGCTTTGAAGGATTGCTGGCTCTTGGGTTTTTGAAACACAGCCACATTTTAATGGAGTCTAAGAAAGATCAGACTGCAATGACACTAAGGAGCTACCCAACTGGGAGGCACCCAGAGGTGCAGGTGTGCCCTGAACGGTCATAAAGTGGCTCAAAAGTCATGTGCAACTGCTGAGAGTTCATTAATTTAAGACACTTATGGAAAGTTTTGAAAAAGTATATTATCAAACATAGATGGTAATATGCAAATTTAGATATATTAGAAGATTGAGTGACAAGACACATATGACACTGGATTCAAGTTGAGCACAATTCTGACCTTAGCCCCCTCCCCCCACATCCTAATATACTTCTTTGAATGAAAAATCAAGAGCGGCATTCTCAACCTGGAACAGTGCCCTGCAGGTGGCCCCTAGCTTCTCTTATTGATATCACAGTTCAGGATTCTGAGAGTGACTCTGGCTCAGGGCACATGGATACGCCTCCTCCTGGCACAGTAGAGAGGCTGGGAACTGCCCCATGTAGCTCAGGCCCATTACAGTGAGTCAGAAGCTAAGCCTGGGACAGCAGGAGAACTTGCTCAAGGCCACCAAAGCAAGACTGGAACCCAGACCTCCTGACTGCAAGCTCACAGACAAGCACAGAGCTGTTACCTTTTAAAATTGGGGCCCCAAAGACTGAGTAGATTTCATCCCCATGGTCTCCTATCACCGTCTTGGGTCTCATGTCTGGTACGAAGCTCGGGCGATACTGAAACTCATACATGTAGGTGGGGGCTCCAGCATCTGAGAAGACACAGATTTGTGCACAGTTCACATCACCAGCTGGACGGTCTCAAAGTCTCTGGCTGTGCAGGAAGCCCCTGGCTATCGGCATGGGAGAGAGACAGTTTGGGGAAAGCACAGTAACTTGCCTAATAGCTGGTTGAGGAGGAAATGGGACTTGGGCCAGATATTTCTGTATGCTTTGAAGTCTTTGTATTTTTACTTTGCTTTTCTACTAAAGACTTTTGTTTGTTGTTTTACATAATGGAAATACACAATGTATCAACTAAAGATGCTGGGTGTTTTCATTGAAAATACACTAGAGCTCATTCCTTCAAGCATAATTTACAACCTTCTATTCAGCCCAGTTTTGAGCATTTCCAGGGCTGTTTTCACCCATTCAGACAAGAGTGAAGCAAATCCAAGCTCCTTGTCTAAAAATGAGTATATTTAAATGAACATATATGTAGAGATGGAACAATCTGTTTCTTGTATCTCAGGAATACTGTATCCAAGAAAGTTATCTTTCAGAAATGAGGAAGAAATAACAACTTTCCCAGACAAAAGCTTATGAAATCAATTACCTCTGGACACACCCTATAGGTTTTGTGAAAGAGAGGTCATTAAGCTGAAACAAAGACACTAATAAAATAAAACATGTTAAAGTACAAAAGTCAATGATATAAATAAATAAAACTATAACTGAAAAAAATTTTCATGACAAATTCAAACACAAAATTCATACATGAATTCTGATATCAAATATATAATGCATGTGGATATAATACAGAATTATTATATGTGATTAAAGTTATTAATAGGCTGGTATAAGTGTAAAACGTTATAAGTACGCTTTATGGTAACGATACAGCAAAAATTTTTAATAGAAGCACAAAACAAAAATAGAAAGAATTCAAAGAAAACCATGACAGAAAACCATCAAAACACATAGGAAGACGATCAAGAGGGGAAGAATAAAGAAGGTATTTTAAAAACAACTAGAAAACAACTGACAAAATGGCATCAGTAAATACCTCGCTATCAGTAATTGTCTTGAATATAAATGGATTAAATCCTCCAACAAAAAGGACAGTGACCAGATTAGAAAACAAGAGCTATGTATATATGTTTCCCACAGGAGACTCATCTTGATTTTAAGATGTATGTAGCCTGAAGGTGAAGGGATGGAAGTAGATATTGTACGCAAATGAAAACCAAGAGAACAGAGGCAGCTCTCATTATATCAGAAAACAGAATTTAAATTAAAAAACTAAAAAAGAGACATTCTACTAGGAAAGGCAGATATGAAACAGTCTGTTCAATGATGACATGATCTTTTAGGTAGAAAACCCCACAGATTTTCCTGCAAGATGGTTAGAACTAGCAAACATATATGGTAGAATTGCAGGATACAAAATCAACATGCAAAATTCTCTATACACTCACACTGAACTGTCGAAAGAAAGAAAGAAAAGAAAGAATGAAAGAAAGAAAATAAATGATCCCATGGATAGTAATAATAACAAGGTAAAACTCAATGGGAATAAATTTAACTGAAGTGTTGTGTTTCCAAGACACTAAAATATATAAGACACTGATGAAAGAAATAGAAGATGACACAAACGCAAAAAAAGATACCCAATGATCACAGTTTGGAAGAAGTAATATTGTTAAAATATCCATGCTAGTCACAGTGAACTACTGGTTCAGTAAAATCACTATCAAAATTCCAACATCATTCTTCAGACAGATAGGGAAAAAATTGTAAAATTCACATAAAACAAACAAAAAACTGGATCAAGGTAATCATGAGTGGAAAAAAAAAAGCTAGAGATGTAACCCCAGTCGATTTCAAGTATACTAAAAACTATGGTAGTTAAAATAACACACTATTGGAAGAAAAGAATCAACACATCAATCAATGGAACACACTAGAGAGCCCAGATATGAACCCAGGCATGTGAAGTTAACTGATTTTTGACAAGGTGTTAAGAATACAAAATGGGAAAAGATAGTCTCTTGGATAAAGAACATTAAGAAAACTGGATTTTTTGACCTGAAGAAATAGGAAATTGAAACTCATATCACAACATAAGCAAAAATTACTAAAAAAAAATGGATGAAAGACGTAGAAGTAACATCAGAAATTCAAAGACTGATAGAAGAAAACAGAGAAAAAACTATGTGACACTAGTCTGGGCAATGACTCAGGATTTGATTCCCAAAGTGGGGGACAACACAGTGAAAACTGACAAATGAGATTTCATCGAAGTGTACAGCTCCTTCAAGCAAGGAGAATAAGGAACAGTGTGCAAAAACAACCTGCAAACCGGGAGAAAATGTCCGCAAGCCATAATGCATTAAACAGTTAAATATAAGCTCTGCAGGGCCTTTGGGCAACAGCAACGAAACAAAACAGCCAATTTAAAAGTGGGTAAGGGCCCTGCGTAAACGTTTCTAAAAAGAAGATATATAAATGACAACAGGTAGATGAGAACGTGCTCAATGTCACTGGGAAAACACAAACTATAGCTACAATGAGGTATCACCCAACCCAGTCCAAATGATTTTATCAAAAAGAATGGAAAACGAAAAAGGGTGACCTCAGCTCAGGAGGCTGAGGCAGGAGGATTGTAAGTTCAAAGCCATCCTCGGCAACTGAGCAAGGTCGTGTCTCAAAACAAAAAAAGGCTGGGGATGTAGTTCAGTGGTGGAGTACCCCTGGGCTCAATTCCAGGTACCAAAATAAAAGGGAAAAATATTAACAAAGATGAAAAGAAAAGGGAACACTTTAATACTGTTGGTACAGATGTCAAACAAGATTGGGGTTGTTGAAAAACTAAAAACAGAATCACCATGTAATCCAGCAACCCCACTTCTGAGTATCTACCCAAAAGATTTGGAAGCAATTGGATGGAGAGATCTCTTCAACCCCATGTTCACAGTAGAACTACTCACAAGAGCCAAATCATGAAATTACCTATGTACATCAACAGATGAAAAGATAAAGAAAATGTGGTAGAGAAACACATGGAACACTATTTAGTCTTTAAAAAGAAAAGAATGATACCATTTGAGATAACCTGTTGAAATGGGGTCCAATATGCTGAGGGAGATAAGGCTCAGAAAGGTAAGTACCACATGTGACAACTTATAGCTCAAATAAAATGGTGGTAACAGGCGAGAGATGAGGAGGAAAGGAGGGTGATGGTAAAAGAGTACAAAATACCAGTTGGGGAAATGTTGATCTTCTCTTTTGATGTTGTTCTACTGGACAGTGTGGTAAACACAGTTGATAATAGAGTGTTTTGCACTGAATATTACTGAAAGGAAATGTCAAGTGTTCTCCTTGCAAAAAATGCCAAGTATTTGAGGAGATGGGTCCGTTAACCAGTTTGATGGAATTATTGAACAATGTATTCATAAATCATAACCACACTGCACTCCATAAGTTTATAAAAATATTGTTTGTCCATTTGTGATTTTAAAAAGTTCTGTGAATGTGTTCCCTCTCCTTCTCTGTCTCCCCTCTCTGAACATCCTATTGCACTGTATGTGCTCCTCCTCCACTTTCTTTGCCCATAGGTGACTGGATATTGGGAGGTGGCAGTGTCCCTCTCCTATGCAACCTCTGTGACTTACCTCTGTGACCACGGGCCACAGTCACAGATGGGATACAAAATATCACATCTCCCATCAACTCCAGGTAGAGGTCTTTGATTTTGACAGGGTCGTCTGTCCCTCTAAAATTCTTCTCAGTGGCCATTTGAGTCAGTTCATCTTGGATCTCCTAAAATGCATCAAGAAAGAGATCCTCCACCTGGAGAGCATGCAGAAGGCTCCTTGGATGTGAACCTCCTGGGCCCTGTGCAAATCCCTCCTGGGGTGGCGGGGAGGGAAAGGCAGACAGATGGGGACGGAACGCAGGTGTCAGGTTTTCTTCTGCCATTGAGTTGGTCTGGGACAGAGGGCAAGGCCAGCTGTTCTTTGTTTCTCAGTCAATTCCCATAATTCTTTCGACTTCTTACCAGAAGAGAGCCAGTCTTCTGCAGGAGTAATGTGGCCGTCTTCTGGTCCAGCTTGCCTTCAGAGATGGGAAATCCCATCATCTATTAAAAAAGGCGTTAAGCATTTCTGAATCATCAGGAATTAACAAGAAGAACCTAGCAAGTCAATGCCTGTGAAGGTTCTCTTGGGGTCTTGATGTGCAGGTGCATTCATTAGATTGAAAAACTATCAAGTAAATGGACTTGGATATAGAAACTCAAGGTATATAAAAGGGATGACTTGAACATATAAATACCAGGCTAGGGGGCACATGGTCATCAGGGCAGTGAGGGAAATTGAAGCCAGGGTAGTGCTGAAGCAGAGAGCTCAGAACAAGAGAGCACAGGCCGTTACTCCACACACTCCAATGTCTCTGGAAGTCGAAATCCATCATGATGAATTTTTTCCTTTGGCATAACCTCTAATATCCTTCTGAAGTGAGAACTGCAGAACTCCCAACCTGTGAAGATGCTGTTCAACCTCTGCACTCTGCCCTCTATCCCACTCTAGCCTGGCTTTTTTAGCCTAAGGCCATGGCCGAGGATGACCCTAGGCCCCCTTGAAACACCTACATGAGAAATCTCAATGCTTTCCAGTCAAAATGGGATCTTCTCCAGACAAAACCTGGCTTTTTAGAGCCAATGTAACTAACATATAAGCAAGTTCCTCCAACTCTTTCCAGAGAAGTGCTGGGAGCACCCATGGGAACCCCTAGGACCTGTGAGTCCAAGCCCAAGGAAGAAGTTGCTGTGCCCAGATCTAGCTCCTGCTTCTTTTCCTTTAGACCTCGTCAGTGTGCACTATTATGGTTTCTGCAGACCCGCCCATCCTGAACAAGTCAGTATTCGTTATTAGGAAGACAATGAGTGCTTGGGGAGAAGGGTCCACAGGGCTGTACCAGTCAAGAGAGCTGTACCATCCCAGAGAAGATTTACAAAGAAATGTCCAGTGTCCACTCAGACCAGTGGTGAAGTTTCCCAGACTCAGAGTGGGCCTTTGAGAAAAGAGAAATTCTGGGTCCAGATGACAGAGGGAGGATGGGGGAGGAAGAGGAGTCTGTGTAAGAGGTCTGCACATTCTCACCGTGGGCAAAATCCAGCCAAACTCTTGCTTGTTGATTCCCACAATGTAGGGGACAGTGTTGAACATCTTATCAGCCAGAATCTCCTCTGGTGTCTTGGGCAGCACCACACCATCTATTACAGTGGGTATCATGGGAGTGCTCTGGGGAAAGAGAGCAGAGCAGTCAACACGCCAGCACCACAGACTTCCATGACTCTGGGCAGGGCCACAAAACTCAGAAGGGAGCTAAGTCTGTGACACAGTGAGGGGAGAATTGTAACCAGGAAGCTAGGGATGGCAACGTGATAGAGGTCGGGGAATGGGAAATATATCACCCAAAGTATATATTATATGTAAATAATTATAATATCCATCTCAATTTTAAACGCACACACAGGCACTGGATTCTCACTGTCGTAGTCGTGTTTGTCAGATCGCAGTGAGTGCTGAATTAGCAAATAGCTGGGCCATTGGTCCAAAGGGAAGTCCAGAATCAAGGCCCTGTGAGACTCTCATCTCCATGTGGGTTGCTCTTTAGACATGTCATATGATATAGATCCCTTACAAAGAATTCGTTACATGCAGAATCCATTTATAATAAAACACCATCTGGGACTCACTTAACTTTTCTCAACCTTGGGTAACATCACTGCAGATTTCTACAGCTCCTGCCTTACAACACTGCTGTCCACTCTGCTTTTTAAACATGGAGCTGCTTCTCCATCTTTCCCATGGTTGTGTCTCCACCAAAGATGTTGCATGACAGTTTTCCAGACTGACCTCACTTACAGACAGGCAAATCTCCGGTTCTTCT